TTGGATGGGTTGACTGCAAATGTCTGTCATACTCGGACATCTGACGGACAGACTGTCAATATTAGTCATTATTGCGAGTGATACGACTGAACAGACAGACTGTAAATATCAGCCATTACTATTGCAGATATAATTTGACTCGTACATCTGACGGAATCATTACTGCGACGAAAAAATGGACTCTGTATCTGACCGACATACTGTATCGTCAGATGAAAGGCCGTAATCGTGGACGTAAAACGAATTTAATAAATAAATAAATAAATAAATAAATAAAATAAATAACATGCTGTAACATTCCACTTCAGTTTAATTATATTATTGATTGAGCCCTCAGTGAAGAAAGGCCAGTGAATACGTTTCGTGTCGTGTATTACTACTTTTTATTGATTTTTAAAATTAGATTTTATGATGAAAGTAAATATATAAGAAACAATTAATTAATATGAAGTCGTATACAGCAGTTTTGCCCGTGCTGTTATCGATAATTCCAGTAATTTCCCTTATCTACAAAAAAACCTTGATAGTTTTGACGTCAATTCATCGGAAAAACAATGTTTTAGGAAATTCGTACGTCACAGGTAAAGTGACAACTTCCGACCAGAAGTAAGACGATCCTCCTTGACGTATGCACGTGGCTGGGGCTAGTTGTGTCATCGGCGTATGATGTCAGATCCTACTCTTTTGTCCATCGTCGTGCGTCCATAAACAATTTCAGATAACCTATTATATAAACATGTACATAGGTCACCGGAGACTGAGTCTCGAGTGACCTCTTGCAATCAGTCGTATACAATTCACATTTTCGACTTTTCGAAATATCGGAACGAATTTTAATGAATTTTGCAGGAACTTTACTTGGAAAAAGTAAATAAATTTTGTATGTTTCCCTCTCACCAGGAGCCTGAAGGTTGGGACAAAAAAGTCAAACAGACTCAATTTTAAAAAAAATCTTCTCAGGGTACACAATCTAACTTTATGAATAGTAGGATCTTAAGACATTTTCCCGAAGATTGTAATTTCATGAACTCATTAAATTCCCGCGCATAAATGTGATTTCGATAATTTCATAATTTCGAGTCCCCTCCGTAGCTAAAATTTCAAAAATTGACAGGGTCCCTCCACATCCAAGAAGTATTGAATCGATATTGATAACTAATCAATTATTGGACCAAATGAACTGTACTTTTAACTTTCACCATAGCAACAATAAGACTGACAATACATGTTTACACAAAGCGTTGCCCTCCGAATTTAAAATCTCGCTGCAGTTCATCTCCTTATCACTGATACAATCATTCTAGGTAATTCTGTACCTAAAGGAATGAATTTGTGAGACCTATATACAAATGAGAATAATAAATGTAAATATAGCAAAATCTGTTTCCAGAGAAACCTCTCTTTGTACCAGACATCAACCTCTGTTATGAAATCTTTATGTATTAATTCTCTGATATGTACTTATATATAACCCTCCAAAAAGCCGCGTTATTGAATCCATAAGGAAGAATCGCTTTTTATAAAAACATTTATGACGATTTGTAAATCTAGAATATGAAACCAAACTGCATATAGAAAATATGTAAGATATATATGTAGCATTATATTTCAAACTACTTTTTAAGATATTTATAACTTCGTACTGACAAACAAGATTTTTTGAAACGGATTGATTTATTCTTTAAAAGTTCATTATCAAGTTAATTCCAACGAAATTTCTTGAAGGGTTATGTTTGTGTTCTTGTACACTTTGTTATCATTTTGATACAATGATTATACAATTATATCACTATTTATATACGACAGGCCTCTAGGTCTATAACGTGCGCATGTTATAATAATTGTAAATTTAAATTATGAAATCTTTATGTATTAATTCTCATTATAACAATTTCAGCGTTTTTTGGTGGCTGATATACTTATTGTGAATGTATCTCGTGTTGTCCATAGTGAGTTAAGTGCCCATATTTCAAACTACTTTTTAAGAATTTTGTATGAATTATCACCACAAATTCTCTATTCTGATATGATGGACATCTAAACTAGATTTTTAGGACCCGAAACAAATATTTCAGTTTGTTTCCAGATCTTTGAAACTGGTTATTTGGGTGAAAAATATAAAAAAAAAAAAAAATAAATAAATAAAACACAGATAGCCTATTTTTTTATCATGAGAAGTATCATCGAAAATTTCTCTATCGAAACATAAGGTGTTGAAAATGTTAAATACTTGAAAACGGATTTAAACCATTATGAAACTTTCATTATTTTGGGTTTTTACGTTGTTTAAATCAAATGAATTTTGATATATGAAAAATTGTCCCATTCAGGACTTTTTTTAGAAAAAATATGTGAAAATGAATTATTTCCTGATATGCATATTCTGACGTCTGTATTGGAAATTTTTGCTTCTTTCAAGAAATCATTATCAGAATTTCAAAGTTTGATACTGGATTTTTTTTACTCGTCAAAGAAGTACATCCTTAAGCTCCATCACTTGAAACTTGAATGATCCTGAGAGTGTCCCGATCAATTTCCTTTTTAATTGGATCGTCGCCATCTTGAAACTCCATTTAAAATTGTTTATATATAGCCTTCCGCCCCCATCATTAATCCATTGAAAACTTCTACAATTCACATAATGTCATCAGCTGAAACAAGTGTTATTTATTTATTTATTTATTTGTTTATTTATTTTCTTTCTTTATTTATCGATCTATTTATTGCTAGTGTGGTCATTTGGCAGACATATCGATAAAAGTGTATTTGTTTCTCGTGTCGGCCGGAATTCCATTTTGGTCACCACCTTGACAGAAAATCAATTTTAAACTTTTCGATTTCCAGTTAAGCTATTCAACTGAACGAGAACTATTTGGGAATATTCAGAAACTCAAAAGGAAGTGTTACTATTTTTTGTTACTTTTGGTCGTTTTATATCAAGCAAATTCAACATACCTTCCTGGAATTTCGAATTGTTCAGTGTTATTTTCCTACTCGTCATAAATACTTATACTAACGCAGCCCTTAGGTTTTTACATCCAAATGAGATGACTGTTTATAAATATTACTTGTTCATTGAATTCATTTATGAATTTTGTTGGTTTCGGTTTCGGTTTTTTTTTTAATTTTTGAACGATCTTTAGAGGTATTGTTTGAGAGATTAACTTGTTAATTAATATGAACAGCGGTTTTATTTTGTAATGGCGTATTGTCTCGCTGATGGTAAATAACAAGTTGTAACATTGGAAAACAATCCAGAAACGCTTGGCTAAAAAACAAAGCGTTCACATCTCCTATTATGATAATCAAGAGTGAAGGAGTTGCCTCATCTTGATTTAGTCTTTAAGTAAGAGTTACCTCCCTTCCAGAAACCTTGTTCACTTTTGCTTGACAATAAATTCGATTTTTTTAAAATCAGGCCATCTGAGGAATGTCAGGACACAGGCTGTAAATTCCATATGTGTTATAGGTAAAACGTACGTCTCTTTAACGGTACCAAATGGTTTTGTAGCGGGGAAGTCATGTGTATTCATTGGTGTTTATATTTATTGTCGTAGATAAGTTTTTCTCCTAGGAAGCTCGTCGTTTTCATTAAAACATCTTATATCACTGCACAAAACGGAGAGTCCCTTATACATGTTCATGTCTGTGAGGGCAAAAGTATCCATCAAATATATTAATATAGAACATATACATCGCAATAATTTAATAAAGTTATAAATTTCAATAGTTCACACTTGCTTCAAACCTCATCTCTTCACAATTTCAATATTTATTCATAATTTCACGCCTTTCCTCGGGGATGTATAATTAATTATATCTTTTCTATGTCCCTGTTTTTCGTTACACAGAATTGTCTCTATCAAATTCTGACCCCAATCAAAATTAGTTTCTGTTGTGGGTCAAACCGTTGAGTGACGGACTGATCGGGGAGTGTGTGTTGTGTTGTTCATGTTTATATCAAAGTTAGAAGAAAGCAAAACGAGGACAGTGTTATAGAAATGTGTGTATCTAAATAAAAATGTTTTCTTTGGGGGGGGGGGGGGGGGGGTTATAAATAGGAAAATTCGTTGTACTAATCAACTAGGGGGGGGGGGTGAAGAGGAGGACTGGTTGACTGACGTCATTGAAATACAAATGGCGGTCAGCATCTCGTAAACATTATGATTCAGTTGGGCTGAAGCAGCACTCATGTACATTTGTATGCAGCGTTTGAGTGAAATATGCCCATATAGAACTCAATTACATCTCTCGTGAAGTGACATTGACCTTTAACCTTCGAATAAAGTAATTCGGGCGACGTACTTAGCGATGAGCGAATGTAACTGGAAATAATTTTACTGTAAGTATCCATGACCTTTGAACTTGAAAAAGAAATCTGAAGCATACAAGTTTAATGTGAAATCTAAGAATGAGCATAGTCAGTAAAATGCAAATATCAATAACAGCAAAATAAATGTGAATATTGACACTAAATTATCACTTTAGACGCTCACAAAAAAACCAGTCTTTATATATGTAACTTGATAAGCGCAAGAAAAATATTTGCCCATATAGCCTTCATAAAACTCTCAAAATCTTTCAAAATTTTGTGTAGACATTTTAACTGTCAGCATCTTTCATGGAAATCGTGGTATTTGGAACATGTCCTGATTACTGAATCAACTGTGACATCTAAGCAATGTAATTTGGGGATGGAGGAATGTAACCATAAAGAAATAGATCCCAGAATGTAGGTATACTGAATTATATCATTATTTTACGCTGAATATGTTTTTTACTTAATATCTAATAGTGAACAAAGATATAAGTAAATATTGATTGTAAAATGGACTATTTATCATATTATCAAAAATAAAGTCTGTAATAAGTATTAAATTGTGTACAGTATATTTAGTCTTGTACATGAAGAATCCAGGTAATTTTAATATCCAGTTGCTTCATGTAGTTCTTCAGATAAAGTTAAGTCACCTGATAAGTAAACAAAAACAAAACTCAAATTTAATCTGACATATATATATAATATATGTATATTTAAGATTATCACAAGCATCATACTTTCATTATTACAGAAAATTTAAGAACTCAGCATAATTTTGGACAATCTTAAAAAATCAACAGCAACAAGAATGTACTCATACTTATAAGAATACCTACACCAGTATGACGCCCTCATCTTTTTTCTGGGAAAGTCTCACAATATCTCTTTCATTGTACACAACTACAGAGTATCATGTCTGATGTTTATATTGTTTTCAGTTCTGAATTCAAAGCCTTTTATCAAAGCTTCAGGTCTCTGTACTTTTCAGGTGAAATTTTTCCATGTATACAAGGGCACTCGTTTTGTGTTGGTGTAAGGCAGGGTGGCCTTAATTGGTTGATTAAAGAATTTTTTATTAGGTTAGGAAGCTGTAGAGAATTTACAGTTTTAAACAGGATACCAACAACAACAATTATAACTTAGTTCTTAACACTAGAAAATCTCTTGATTACTTGATAACTTGAACAAGTGAATTTCTCCAAATCATCCTGAAATCTGTTCTAGTAAATAGATTCTTTATAGACCGTAACACTTTGTATATCCATAGGTCCATCATTCTTGAAATAACTGAAAACTTATGTGGAAATTTTTAAATATCAAAAAATATTTATCATAACATGTCTATAAGACATAAATGGCCCCCCACCTCTTATACAGACCAGAATCTGATTGGTGTAGAATGTGATGTTATGATACTATAGGGAAAGTGTGAACCAGAATCTGGTCAGGTGTAGAACATGGTATTATGATACTAAGGGGGAAATATGAACTAAATCTGTTGATTTGGAATCGCACATGATGTTATTCAACACGACACAGCAGATAATGGAATGGATGGACATGGGTATCAGTGTAAGTCCCTCTCCCTTCAGCAAACAGCAAAGGCATACAAATCTCATGTTGTTAGTTTGATAAGACTGGAGCAAGCAACAATTTTATATAAAGAGGCCCTGACCTTTGACCTCTGAAACAAGATCATGTCAAAGATAAACTTGATAATGATCAAGTTTAATAAAATTCTTGTATGACATTAGCCAAGTGAACATCTTGACACCATATTTTTTCTACTTGAAGTCTTGTCTGGATGGATCCTGACATCCAGTTGACTCGTTATCCTTGCCATCCTGGTGCAGATATGTAGATATTGCTCCACAAGTCTTTATATGCTTGGATTGACACCATCTCAGAAATCCCTGGCAGCGAGGGATAGCCTTATCAAGTGCTGACTTCGAAGTCTGAAGGCTCTGAAGTGGAAAAAAAACTGACCCTCCAAAATGTTGACAAGTCTCTATGACGGCCTTGAAGTAGAAGATGGCTCTCTTAGCTACTGACAAGTCCTTCAGAAGGAGATGGCACTCTTAAGTAAGGAATTCAGGGGTTTCAATGGTGGACAATAAAACATCCCAATTAATGCTGAATTCTAGAGAGATCCTAAAAAGCGGAAATGCCCTTCAAAAAGCTGACAAGTCCTTCAGGAGTCCTAAAAATGCAGCCTGGTCTTCAAAATAATGGCAAGTCCTTCAAGAGTCCTTAAAATGTAGGCTGGCCCTCCAAAATAGGACAAATTCTTCAGGAGTCCTACAAGAAAAGGGGGGATGGCTCCTACCAAATAGAGACAAGTCCTTCAGGAATCTGGGGAAGATACCTTATAGTTGTAAACACCCTTCAACATGTGACAGTGTTGTAAACTCTGTTGGTCGGAGGGTATTGTGTAGGGGCCAGCATCACCCATATACACATGTCTGATTTAGGGTCAAGGTCATGATAATGGATAACGGATAGCATAACCCTAATTTCCTCTTAATGGACCTTTTCCTTCTTAAGATTCCGTTCTAGCTAAGAATGCTAACCTTTTCCCCCTTCAGATTGCCTTCTAGCTAAGAATGCTAACCATTTCCCCCTTCAGATTGCCTTCTAGCTAAGAATGCTAACCTTTTCCCCCTTCAGATTGCCTTCTAGCTAAGAATGCTAACCTTTTCCCCCTTTAGATTCCCTACCATCTAAGAATGCTGATGTTTTCCCCCTTTAGATTCTGTTCCATCTAAGAGAATGCCAACCTTTTCCTCCATTAGATTCCCTGGCATCTCAGAATGCTAACCTTTCCTCTTTAGTTTCTTCTATTTAAGAATGCTAACTTTTACTCCATTAGGTACCATCACTTCAAGAATAATAAGAACTTCATGTTCACAAGATCAAATTGCCATTTTCCTTAAGATGTTTCAGTTTTACTTTGTAATAAGTCTGACAAAGTGCTGTGGATAATCAGAATTTTGTAGAAATATGGCGTTACATATTTTTACCAGAAATAAACCCATTTCAATAAGGATACGGAATACGCAGACACCAGAGTCCTCCAGGTGGTAGTTCCACAGGGCCTTCAAAGCCAAGGCCAAACAGAGGGCAAGGTGGGGGTGCTGGCTGTATTTGGGGGCACAGTGTGATTCTGAGGGGGCTATCTGGTGTCACAATGTACAGCCGCATCAGTTGGGCCAAGAACCCCTTAGAACTCCTGGAAAAACAGAGTAGATAGGCACCATCAATACAGAGCTCATGTAGATTTGTAACAAGGATTTACATACATTTATGGACATTTTTTATTACTTCAACACACCATTTATGTAAAATATTCAAAGCTCTTTGCAATCACATTTCACATACAGGATATGTGTTAATGATCGTTATTTGAAAGACCATATAAATTTGATATTTTTAAAAATTTGACTGTCGAAATAAAGTCATCAGTTTATTGCATCTCCTCCCTAGAAGCTACATGTTAAATATCATGATTTTAAAGCCCTTACTTGGTGTCAGTAGTTCTTGACTAGACATTGAAGAAAATGACTGACAGATAAGTGCAGGAAATGTTTTGTTAATGGTCTTTACAAAGCATGCTTCAAGAAGACACAAAATGTATATCAAAAGGAAAATTTGAAAGATAACTGCGGATACTATAGCAACTGACAATGCTTGTTTGGCATTGCCTAAAAATTGGAAAAATACATCATTGTACATGGTTTCATAGAAAGATCATCCAAATATTTGTGACAAAGTCTAAAATCTGAACCTCCAATCAAAGCTTTGTGCTGGTCTTACCTACAATGAGGACAGGAACAGTAGAGAGGCATGTCCAGATTCACCAGTTTAGTAGCATTGTCCTGTAATGTGTAAGTGTAAAGTGGAAGGGCTCATATTTGTCAGTTTTGTAACCAAAGTTTGTTAGTAGGTCAATCAATCTTAGACAGTTTGTGTATCAGTTTGAATAAGTATTTCATGCTTTGCATTTACTTTCATATTTCAATTTTAAAGGTTTACCTCATTAAACGTTACACACGACTCATTGACCTTGATATTAACCACACCTCTGACCTTGACATTATCAACATAACTGAACATGACAGTTAACACAATGACCTTGACATTACACGCAACTTTCCTTGACTTTATACAAACAACTGACCTTGGCATTACACATAAATGACCTTGACATGACACACAATCGATCTTGACATTACACACCAAATTAAACTTGATTATTCACACAAATGACCTAAAAATTACATAACTGACCTTGACATTACACATAACTGACCTTGACATTACACATAACTGACCTTAACAGTACTTGTGTTGGAGACCTTGATGATCTTCTCTGGGCCACTGCAGAAAAATCGATGGCCACGTGGGCATTCATACTCATCTCCTAGGAACACACGGACACTCAACTCACCAACATCTACAAAAAGAACAGAATACCAAACAAAAGTATTATTTAGAACTTCATTTATTATTGATATTTATTATTAATATTCCCACACAAAAAACACTTATCCATATGAAATCAGTATATCATAACTTGACACATCCTCAATACTCCCCAGGTTATGATCACTTTCACACTCTGCACCCGTGGAACATGTCATGGCAAAACTGAAGGTTCCAAGAGCGACAACTTGTGTACAAGACTAACAAGTACTTTTATCCTTTGATGAATATCAAATAAATATAGAGATCACATTAAGTTATACTGTAATGGCATTGAAGTTAGGTGTCACAACTTTTCTAATCTCCAAACGCAGAATATCAGCCTGTGATTGGTCAGTTTATTTCTCCTGGAGCCAATCAAATCACTTCAATTGTGCCTTTGATTTTGCCATGACATGTTCCACCAGTGCAGAGAGTGATTGTATCCCTTGGAGTATTGAGGATGAACTTGATGATACCTTTGCCCTTGCTGAAGCTGTTTAGTGAGTTACATATTACCTCTATCATAGGCTACGTACCTTTTGGACTGATTTTCTTTTGTTTGCCTTTTCTTGACGCCATCTCTCCAACAGACGGCCATTTTTCCTTCTCTATCTTAGCAGTTATGTCCCAAGGTAAGAGGTAGTTACTACCATGGAGGAAGCCAGGTAACTCCAAACCTGAAAAAATCAAAAGCACCAAGTATTGAACTTGTCCTACTGTTAAATCATAAATTTTTGTGGGGCTCAATTTTTGTGATCTTACAAAATAACTTTTTTGGAACAATAAATCTGCTTAAAATGATTGGCTAAATAACATGAACATCACAATGACTACATCACATAAACAACATCATCACATTGACTAAATCACGTGAACAATAACACAATTACTACATCATATCGACATCATCTTGACCATTGACCTTACCTAAGGTGTGGGAATAAAGGGTACTCTTGCCGAGGCAGGTGAGCGCCCAGGATGGGAACTTTGGAAGGAGGCCCAGGGGCGACTCGGAGTGAAGCATACCAGGTAAATATTCTGTTGTAGAGTGTTGTCTTAGAGCAATCAGTTCTGTAAATTAAGAAAAAAACAAATGTTGAGATTGGTAATTGTTCACTTATCTACTGCACTAGTGTGTGCTTACCAGACCACTGTCAGGTCATCTCTCACATTGTCTACTGTAATGTGTGTACTAATGGACTCTGACATTGGAACTGGGTCATCCTTCACCTCATCTACTGTACAGGTGTGTACCTACCAGACCCTGACATTGAGATCGGGTCATCCTTCACCTCGTCTACTGTACAGGTGTGTACTTACCAGACCCTGACATTGAGATCGGGTCATCCTTCACCTCGTCTACTGTACAGGTGTGTACCTACCAGACTCTGACATTGAGATCGGGTCATCCTTCACCTCGTCTACTGTACAGGTGTGTACCTACCAGACTCTGACATTGAGATTGGGTCATCCTTCACCTCGTCTACTGTACAGGTGTGTACCTACCAGACTCTGACATTGAGATCGGGTCATCCTTCACCTCGTCTACTGTACAGGTGTGTACTTACCAGACTCTGACATTGAGATCGGGTCATCCTTCACCTCGTCTACTGTACAGGTGTGTACTTACCAGACTCTGACATTGAGATCGGGTCATCCTTCACCTCGTCTACTGTACAGGTGTGGACTTACCAGACTCTGACATTGAGATCGGGTCATCCTTCACCTCATCTACTGTACAGGTGTGTACTTACCAGACTCTGACATTGAGATCGGGTCATCCTTCACCTCATCTACTGTACAGGTGTGGACTTACCAGACTCTGACATTGAGATCGGGTCATCCTTCACCTCATCTACTGTACAGGTGGGCATATCTGCAGGAGGATCAGATATATGGTCTATGTGTTCGCTTCCCAAATCAGCTAGATCATCCTGAGGAGGAGCCGTTATCTCCCTTAGTGTCCTCTCATTACTCTGCTGGAGACCTTCTCTTGGATGTTCCGCTTCCTCCTTCACATCAGCAACTGTACCAGTGACATCAGGATGAGTTGTCTCCTCTTGGTTTCCACAAACTCCACCTTCCTTTGTTGTCTCTTCCATCTGGTCACTTGTACTAGTCTCTCCTTGGTGGTCAAGCGTTTTAGATGGGTGGTCATCTGTTGTCAGACTGCCCCCTCCTGTTCCCTCAGTATGACCAAAATAGTCACTAGCACCAGATTGCCCTTCAAAGATAAAGACAAAATATAACAATACTATTGAATCAGAACAATGAAAAATAATGTAAAACCTGTCGTTTGTATGACTGTACCCCTAAGTTTGTTTCACACTAAAAGTCACTTTTTTGTGACAAGTTAATGGTGGATTAGTACCCTACATACAGGTAGACTGCATCAGACTAACAACTTACCTAGAATGCATCACATTATCAGTGTCCAATCTAAACTGATTCCAAACTAAAACTGACTTAATTTGTTTCAGACTAAAAGTCACATACCAGCACCTAGACTAAGTTGGGCTAATGGCTACCTACCTAGACTGATTTAGACTAATAGTGACTTATCTTAACTAAGACTAAACATGACCGGCCCAGAATGTGTCAGATTAAAAGTGACCTGCCCAGAGTGAATCAGACTAACAGTGACCTATGTAAACTGAGTCAGACAAATAGTGACCTACCTAAACTAGGACTAAACATGACCTACCTGGAATGTGTCAGACTAAAAGTGACCTGCCTAAACTGAGTTAGACTAAAAGTGACCTACCCGAAATGTGTCAGACTAAAAGTGACCTGCCTAAACTGAGTTAGACTAAAAGTGACCTACCCGGAATGTGTCTGATTAAAAGTGACCTGCCTAGAGTGAATTAGACTAATAGTGACCTATCTAAACTGATTCAGACTAAAAGTGGCCTATCTAGACTCAGACTAACCTACCTAGACTGAGAGCCAGACTGAGGTTGGTCAGTCCTGAAATCACATCTTGGAGGAACATTCTTTGGATTAAAAGTGACCTGTCTAGAGTGAATCAGGCTAATAGTGACCTATCTAAACTGATTCAGACTAAAAGAGACCTGCCCAGACTGAGTCAGACTAGAAGTGGCTTATCTAGACTCAGTCAGACTCAGACTAACCTACCTAGACTGAGAGCCAGACTGAGGTTGGTCAGTCCTGAAATCACGTCTTGCTTTCCTCCAATGTCCTTGTTTTCTGTCTTGCTGTCAGGTGTGGCTAGAAGCTGACAAGCCCGTACCTCTGTGGTACTGGGTTGAAATACTGGCATTTCAATATGCTTTAGTTCTTCACAACATACCTTCTCCAAAGCATCGAAAAAGTCAAAGTTCGCAGTCTGAAACACACAACAAGGACACTGTTAGAGTTTAATTTTTAGTCCCCCACCTGGAACACATTACAGAATATTAAGTCATATTTGTAAATCCCCATTGAAAAAAACAATTAGGGCATTTTTAAAGGAAAATTTAATCCATACACCATGGGGTGTTCCAATAAATACAAAGAGCATACTACAATGCATTCTCCTTACCCAGAATTCAATATAAACTAAGACATCAAAATCATGAAACGGTCACATTAAGCATCTATAACCTGCTACAGAAATCTCTTTTGTAGCACTCTTTCTCGCAGAATGTGAGTTTCTACTGATTAATTGGTAACAGGCATGAATACAGATAGAATCCCTATTCTCTGTCAAATGGTTCTCAATGGAGCATGTAGAGCCAAAATTTAAATTTTATTACAACTTATATTTTTACAGGCTGAAAATAGAATGACATAATGACACCATTATGGTGAAATAAACCCCCACCCCATCCCAGGGTAAAGTGAAACCATGTTAGATTTTGTTTTTAATTGATGTTGTTTTACTTAATCCCTAATCACTTTACTTAATTCTGTTCCTCAATACATAATAAAACAAAAAAATTAACAAGGGTTGAAGCATTTCACTATTTTTTTTACTAATTAACTATTTTTCACCAATTTTTTCTAATTGCCCTGATTCAATCAACACGTAAATAAAAAAAAAATGTGTTGTATGGGAAAACTTGGGGTTGGGCAGGGTGGGGCAAAGGTGTTCACTTCCCCATAGCCATGGTCAAGAGAACATCCTATTTTTTGACTAATCACCTGATTCAATCACATAATGTATAAAGAGTAAAACAAAATGGGTGGAGCGGGGAAATCTAGGGTGGGGCAGGGTGGGGCAGGGTGGGGCAGGGGGATGCATGTTTCTATTTATTTCGTGGTATGTCAGCCGGTTTTGCCTGAACTTTTGGGCTTCATCAGAACAAAAAAGGAGGACGATTCTAGACCTAACATGACGTACTAAAATTTGAAATTTATTGAGTGTAAGTATCTCTATAAGTCATGGGTCAAAGTGGGATTTTCAATTGATCCAAAAATCAAAGGCTCCATTTTAAAGTATGCTGAATCTTCTGGTCTAAGGTATATAGACAGAAAATTTGAATTTCAAATAACTTTTGAAACAGTTAAAGCTAAATCAAATCTTCTTCCCAGGCTATTTTCTTTACATATTTACTGAAAGTCATTTCAGTTTTGAATTTAAAATATGTACACCTGTATCTAAGTTTGTTCACACAGGTAAAAAAAACATGAAATTGTGTTTATCAAATGAGTGGCAACATTTCTGAATCAATTCAAACTATTATGTTGATATTTTCAGGTTATGTCAGATATACATAGAATATTGTACAAGTCAACTCTGACATGACATTTTAAATCCACCATATCTAAAATCTAAAATAAACAAACCAAATAAAAAAAAATTTCAAATATTTCTGTCTTCATCCTTGATTGACTGATGGGTTGGAGGGTCCCTAGGGGATTTTTCAGGCCTTAGAAAAATATTTTTTATGAGGGCGAGGGTAATTAGAGACTGGAGACTCCCCTGTGGTGTTTATAATGTTGAGGACAGCATACCCAGGAATATTACCATCTCTATGAATCACCTTCCTCATAACAAACAGATTTTTGTGGTTTTTTAGCCTGTGTGATAACATGGTCGGTACAAACAGCCTTGGTGAATTTCATCTCTGACAGATGTAAATGCTGTCGTATGAATGTTTAAAGGAAGGGCTTTGGGGTTAGCACGTATAAGAATTTGGCAAAGTAACTAGCTTGATTAGAACAAAATGAAAATTTCTGTACATTCCTCACTAATACAAAAATAACATCACGAGAGATGAGTAATATGACTGTTGCGATGAAAAAAAAAAAAAAAATTTGAAACCAAATCAGTGCTTTTCTGTCTTTTCAAATACAAAATTAGCACCAACTGGTAAATATATACATTTTTTTCTCCAAATGACATGACTTTATTGGTGTACAAAAATATTTTGGCCTTCTATCTCATCTACCCATGAAGGAATTCCCACAAAAATATTTAGTAATTTCCGGTGCATCAGTTACTTGGGGATATGTAAATAAGGTTATCTCTCTACCATACTTTTACTCCTGGTAGGTACAAATAAATCACCCGTTTTGACCTTCAGTACAACCTCTGGGTCGACAGATTCACGCTTGCTATCAATCACGCTGGAACTGTGACCACAGAGGTGTGTCCTATAACATTGTAACAAAACACTGGTGACACATCACTCGTCAGCATACCAAAGTTACCGAATCAAAGCCATTTTTGGGGGGCATTAATTCAGGTGGTTATCATCTATGGAGATTTATTGAAAATAAATGTAATTTTGTAACTTATAAGTCATAAATATAAATTCAACATATAATGTGTAGCAGGACATCAGGTAATTCAAGTAAACTTTCGAAAAAAAAAAAATTTGTAAATTTCTGCAATAACTTCCAATTAATATAATCAAGTTATTCCCTGTTGTTGGCCTGTTTCGAGGATGAAACAAATGGCTAAATATTTGCACTGCATTTACTGTGAAAATAATATTAAAGACAGACGACAACAGTCAATTTGAGCAACTTTTGTGAAAAAATCTGTCTTTTTATTTCAGCGTTTGATGAAATATGAACCATAAGAGGAAGAAAAAAACACATGACTTGCATTTGAACTTTTGCGTGCCTTTATAAATCAAAGAGAAATAAAAATGACATTGCAGTGAAAATTAAAATGCTGCACAGATTAAAGATGTTGAGAATGAGCAGAAATAGAAATAAGAAAAGACAAAAACAATTATTATTAGATTGTGTACTTATGATGAGCTCACTGATAAATAAAATAGTATATGTATGTATATCTTAACATATACAGTGTATATATATATCTACTTTTTCTTATCACTAGCTAAGTGCCTGTAGTCATAAGATCCATCTTATTACAAACATGTAGTCAGGATTAGTCATGATGTAAAATCATTCAGCATGGATACACAACATATATACAATAATGTAAAAGTCCCTTTTATCCTATGTCCCTGATTGGTTGTTTCTATTGTAAAGTGAGACAGGGGAGACATTCTGTTAAATTAATTTTAAATCTACAGACAACATTTTTTAGATGAAGGTTGAAGCATTTGTTTTGATATATAAATACCTATCTGACACTAGTGGTGGGGGGCCCCCACCATGATCGAAAACCTAGACCAGACCAGACTGGGTTTTCCCAGTCAGCCGCTAGACACAATACACATGTTGTCTCCCAGCCGAGAAATCCTCCCTCCCATTGATAACACTACACATTCATGACTTCAAAGGAAAAATTTAATACATTAAAGAAAACCGGAAATTATTTCCGGTTGGATAATGGAATCACACATTTTACAGTCAACAACATCGTTTAGTACAGAAGAAATTGAAAGGTTTTATTTGCCAAGTCATCACTTTAAAGACCAGCGTAAAGTAATACTTTAATGATTTAGCTCCTAAAAAAACAGTTGACTTCTGTTACTGTGTGTTTAACAATAGGTTTGAACTTTTCTTAAATTCTCTATGGACTGAAATCATATTGGTTTATCAAGTACATTAAAAATTATTTAAAAATTTGAACCAAAACAGTTCTATTTTTCAATCTGTTTTGTATTCAGTTGGTATGTTATTATATAACATACTTAGTTAAACAGGTTTGTATATAAATGTGCAAGATTTCACTTAATTTCAAATAATATATATAAGCACTTGGATATTTCTAAAGGAATTTTTTCAACAAAAAGCACATAAAATCTAAGATGGACATAGAATGGACTAGCAAAATGGATTTTAGTACGAATTTGACTTTGAGTCGTGGTACCAGTACAAGCTAAATGTAACTACAATTAATTGAATGTCTGTGTAAGACAGAAAGATGACCTTTAGCCTTGATTTAAAGTTTCGATAGTATACAATACAAACTATAGTATATAATTTATGGAATTCAAAGAATTTTTCCAGAGCCTTTGTTGAGCTAAAATAAAAAGTTTGTGATAAGTTTCATAAATATGAAAACAACATTAAGATCCTTTTAACATATAAACTATCAACTTTACAAATACTTCAGATTTCCATTTCCATGGCATTTTACGATCTCCATTGTGATGTCATAATACATTTCACAAGCGAATGACGTCATTTCATTGCTATCCCCTTTTAATATGTCACACTAGGCCATGTTACAGGGAATCATACACAATAGATCCAGGAGGTATTGTCAGGTGCCCACCATGAAATGACTTTCACAAGTTTTTAGTCTGATATCTTATGACACAAAGAGAAATCTTTACATAAAGACAAAGATTCCACCAGTGCTCAGAGTTTTAGAGATAACAAACTGTCACTATCAAAATTCAAGATGGCCACCTGTCGGCCATTTTTTTCTTGATATTTGAAAAAAAAAATTTCCAGATTTTTCTTTAAACATACTCATTGTCAACCTTGATCAGTTCCAGCAAGGACAGAGCACAACTAAGGATTAAACGGAACATATTATGTGGAGAATTATCCTTCCCAAAGCTGTAACAAGAAAACTTTTAAATAAATTGAGAGTGATTTTAAAAGTCAACCATCTGGTGAGGATGATTTCAAAAAAGTCTATGGATATATACAATGATCAATGTATTATTAACATATTGTTAAGTTATTATAAATTCTATATTAGTACAAGATATAAATGAAAAGTTTTAATCTCAAAGATTACTAAGTCCTGGATCAGATTATAATGAATTGTTTTGTATTGTAGGGATTGTATATATAAATTTTTCCTTTTTGCCCTCTTAAATATTGCCATCGGGATCTTTTTTTAAAAACCAAAGTGAAAAAGTAATCCAAAATGGTTTCACAATTTTTTTTTTGATAAGTGAAAACTACTATAAAAATATGTTTTAGACAATTTTCCGTCTGTGATATACATCTTATATTTTACTT